TGAAGGGCTGAGAATATCGATACAGATCGAAGGCTGGGACAGGGGTGCTGACAGGCAGACGTCCGAAGGGACTATTTTTGGTTTTTATTTCAAGTCAGAAATGGTGCTTCCCAATTGGCATTTGGGACTAAAGGCATGCCTTCGCAAAGGCACAGCAGCAGGCCGTCCATCAAAACGGGGGGATGCAGTTGGTATTTGTACACGTCATCCTTGCCAGAATGGAATGGTTCTCTGCCATCAAGGCATATCCTGCCAGGTTGCACGAAACTGCTGCTATTACTGCTTTGTTTGTTGGCAAAGCATCACAAGAGGGTGCTTGAACTATTTATATGGTGCAAGAATATGCCTGATGTCCATCCAGCACGATCGCAGCAGAAGTCCACTGCACTGTTGGATCACAGGTCTCCCTAAACTCTAAGAAAGGCCACAAAGATAACCAACCTGGTTCAGTCTTTGCAAGCAGTATCACATCAAGGTTGCACCCATGGTGACAAATACCGTGCCTTCGGGCCCTTAGGCAAACTACACATCCACTTGCACTGACATCGGTTTGTTACTCATTGTTGTGGCACATTTGCACGTGTTTCAGAAATACGATCCCAGGGTGCGGCGCATTTGCCTGGATGGAACCCTCAAGGAGTACAGTGTTTGCGACGAGATGAACGAAACGAGAACAGAGAGATTGTGGACAGAGAAACGCTTGAACACTGAGCGACTCAAGAATCGCAGGTAGGCAGTAGTTCAGGACATCTGCCATCTGTCTGGCGTCTTGACTGTGTGCACTTGCGCAGTACTGTGTTAAGTGTGGAGACTCTATGCCACGAGGTGCATTCGAGCAAGGCCATGATCTTACGGCAAACACACTTCCCAAATGAGCACCTATGGGTTTGGCACAGTGACCCATGTTTTGCAGGGGACCAAGTGTTGGGAACGGTCATCAAGGCACTGATGTCATATCCGTTGAGCTGATGTTGGCACCTGAAGTCGTCTGTGTGTGTGAATTTGGTAATGTATTCGAATGTCTTTCGAAACCACACAGATCTTTGTACGTCACAGACCAGGCAAAAGCTGATTTGGGGTCGCCCATCCGGAAGCTATTGCAATTCGTGTCATGCCTTATACAGACTTGGAATAAATGAAGACATCTTCGTCACCATTAGAAGAGTCAGAGAGATGCACCGAATCGACAGAATTATTCCAGAAGTTCAGAAGAATGAACGAGTGATTGCGAAGCTAAAGTCGGAACATGATGAGAGAAGTTCTGCATTAGATCGTTTAAACAAATGTAGGCGAGAAGAGGCATTAGAGCAGCACAGAAGGCTTGCACAATCTATCGAAGAAAGAAACAATGGGAAGGTGGGAATCAACAGTTCCTGAGAGTTCCACAATGTATTCACCAATGCTCCTGTACGAGCTGTTCGCATAGCTGCTATTTGTCCACATTCGCTGTGGAATCAGCACAGGACAATAGCCCCATTGCAGTACTAGTGCCATTGCAGTACTAGAGAAAGCTCCCAGTAGTCGAGCCTGTGGCACCTGATACGTTGCCAAGCACTGGGACTGTGGCTCCCACGATGACATAATGCTGTTGTAAGGTCTCATTCCAGCGTGGACTTTCGATCTCATTCAATTGAAGTTGATCAAAGTTGAGTCAGGGCAATTTACCCTGCATGTTTCATTGGCAATTTGTGTAACTTCCACGATGGATGTCTAAGTATTTGAACTTCACTCCGACTGCAATGATCGAATGCCACCTTCTTGTTTTGAAAGGTTTTGACTGCCATTGGCGCTTCCGACTGTGGCTGCAGGAGACTGACTGTCCCTTTGCAACACACAGATTTCGGCAGCAAGGAAAGAGTGGGAGGTGATGGTGAGCGCATTAGAGGCCCAGCACAGAGAAGAAAGAGAGGCGTGGGACGTAGAATGCCAGAAAATGCAGCGGAAAATACAGCGGAAGCAAGAAGAGGAACAGAGCAAGAGGTGTGCAGTGAGAAGAATGGGCACCTGCAGATCATGTCGCAAAGCTTGTTGTTCGCATCTCTGTGAACCGTTCAATCAGCAGTGGGACATCTTGTACTGTGATCTGGCTGATGCAAGTTCCACAAACTTCAAGTCGCAGGAAAATATGAATAGGGGAGAAGTCATGGCTACACTTGCATCCCTGGCACCCCCCACTCAACAAGGAGAAAGAAGACTTGAGATGAATCTGAGTCGACTCTGTTGTGGTGGCAGGGGCCGAACCCAGTCCAAGCAGGCAGCAGTCCTCCCTATAGCTTGCTCTTCAGTGAATACTGTGGCGTGCTATCGACTGCCTGGGCATGTGTCTCACTATGCCATATTCATTATCTGTGCGTTGCAACAATGCACAATTGCTCAGTTCACATTAGGGGTACACTAGCCTGTTCCTTACAAATTCTGGACATTGCTCTTCGCCACACTAACTTGTGTCATTGAAGCGCCGTTGCTATCATGTTTGCCTCAATCGCAAACTGACCATGCTGAATTTGTTGCAACGTTCACATTTTGCATAATGGCACAATGGCCACTCTTTTGCCGTGGCTTGTGCCATTGCTACCCTTTCAACACACGAGGTATTGTGCTGAGGAAATGCACAATGGGCATCTGATCTGGGCAGATATTCAAGAACGGATCAAACCGCAGACAACGATGTGCCCTGCCAATGCCCTTCCTGTCATCAATGACGTGCAAGGTCTGGGCTACTGCACTGCATGCCGCGATGGCAGCGAATCCAATTTTATGCAAGATGTTTGTGCGCACAGATCGGCGCTCGAACAACAGGCCAAAGCTCGCCTGGAAGCGGAGGCATCGGCGCGGGCCCGCGAGCATGAGGAACGCCAAGCTGCCACTGTGTGCCTATATGCGACGAGCATGGCCCAGGCAGTGCTGCGCAACTCTGCCGCAGTCGATGTGGCGAATGGGATCATACTTAGAAAAGACAGGAAAGTGTTTGATGAGGCATCGGACAGAATACGGAAAGAGAATAGAAGAATTGCGGACGCCCATGAACTGGAAATCCTGTGGAGGGAGGAGCGGCTTGAAGCACACCGACAGGTTGGGTCCGTGAGGCTCCCCTTGCCACTTGCTCACGTGCAGCTTAATTGGTGCTGGCTGATGGCTGCAGTCGGGATAGTTGTGCATGCCCTTGCTGGCTTCATGCATATCCTGGTGCATTTCATGAGCCGTTTCAGGCCGCAGTGAATATGACGCCTGCATTGTGCTTTGACGCAATGGCAGATGGCAGTGTGTACTGTGCGTGGTAACTTGCTTTGGAGTTCATTCAGCTGTGCATTCTTTGGAAAGACATTTATTTCTCATTGATATCCAGTGGCTCATGTGAAACACAAAACGGGAGCAGGAGAGAAGGATGCAGCTTAATTTCCTGTGCGATGCAAAGCTCCCCTGAAGTGAATGCAGAATGGATGTGCTGGGTGCTGATCCATGTTCCTGGTGATGTGGCACCATTTTGTGAATCCGGACAGTTGCTGTGTGTCTGTTCAGAGCCTTGAGCAGTGGAAATCCGAGACAGCTCGGCTTGACAGGGAACATGAGGAGTTGGTACAGTTGTCTAAAGTACAACATCGAACTGAGGTGGAACGACTTCGAGAGGAGTGGAACGGCTACAAAGCCGAGGTGGACACGGAGAACGAGAGAAGATTGCGAACCTCTCAGGAAGAATACAAAGCCCTTATAGCTGAAATTCAGGTGCCCCAATGGTGCATGGTTGGATCACTTTGTTCCCAGTGTGTTGCAGTTTGCCAGCTGTCGGACTGCCAGTTCGTTGCACATGCAAGCAATGCGGTGAAGACGTGCACGTACTTTTGCTCGACCCCTCCCAACCGTGGCTAGATGAGCAACTCTTGTGCAGTGTGCGCGATGAACGATAGATGTCACCGCGGCAGTGGAGTACTGCGCTGAAAGAAAATATGCACAATGTCGTTGTGGCTGTGTGGAGAACGCAGAAGTCTGAAATCAGTGGGCTGCGTGTTTCCTCGGGAAAGAAACTTTCGTGCTTGCTGCTGGGGCGCAGCGGAATTCAGGGCATGGCTGGACCCCTGTGGCCATGCTTGCTTCAGCAATGCGGCACCAGAGTGGATTGCTGATGAAATGCCGTTAGCTCGATGAGAGCACCAGCGTGAAGTAAGGCATGAGCGAGCGGAAGGTGAACGAGGGGCGGGCAAGCAGTTAGGATTGCACCTTGCAGGCGACTACGGGCGTGTGGACATCCGTAGTCGCCTGCAAGGTGCAAAGACGTCACTTTGTCCTGCGACGTCCAGTATAGTCCGAAGAATGTAAACAGCACCAAGCGCTGACATTGCCAGCCCCCTTGGGCTTGCCAGGCAAGAAACGGGGCGCGGAAGGAAGCGGAGGAAAAAGCACGGGCTGAGCGCGACGCGGCGATCCTGGAGAATGAGAGAAGGTGCAGCGCTGCAAAGGAGAAACACGAGAGGGACATCCTGAGGGTGAAAATGGAAAACAGCGTGACGATGAGGAAGGCGCGTGCAGAGCATGCTCAAATGTGCTGCGAGCTGAGGGTGCGTTGGCGCGGCTTCGCGCGGTGGCAATCGAGACCCTCTTGAAAACCCCGCCGACTGATGATTTCACGGCTGCTCTGTCCACGGCCATCCCACGTTGCCAGATTGTCAACATAGATAAGAAACGGTCCTCTGAGTGGTCACTGAGTTTGGACTTCAGAAACAGAAATTGCGCAGTGCAGCTGAGTGTGGAACGCTCCTTTTGGGCAACCAGTGTGGCGCGGTGCATGCGTGAATAGCCTGCAGATATTTCGCTTCAGGCGCATCGAAAATGCAAATTATTGTTTAATGATTTGATTGACGAGGGCAGACACGATTGGTCGAGGATTTCGGTGCTGACCTTCCTACTTGATACTTCCTGAATTCGGCACGGCGCGAAGGCAATGGTCGCATTGCACAAAGGTGTCTTCTGGATGACGTACAAAGCAAGCGGTGTGCGAATTGGACATGGCCATTGCCTGCCTCGAAATGCAGGAGGAGCATCTCGAGATGCAGCGGCACGAGGTGGAGCAGTACAAGGAGGCGAAAGCGTACATTGAGAAGAAGAACCGGGAAGAAGCAAAGAGGATGCGCCAAGCGCATGCAGACGCTGTGAGAGAGGCGCGCAGGGCACACGATGAGGCCTGCGAGGCCGCCAGACTTGCGCACACAGCTGAGGTGGAGAAGGCGAAACTACACAACGCCAGTGTGTGGCACGAAGTGCAAGTTGCAAAGGCTGCCAAGGTGGGCTGCATGAGCAGGGGCCGAGCGCCATTCACACAATGAACAGAAATAGGGCATCCGTAAGGCGATTTGTGCTTCGGTGATGTGCGCACTTGTCGTTGTCTAAAAGGGTGGAGCTGTTGGCTGCTGTGCACTTCAGTGCACTTGAGAAAAAATGTACTGCTGAGCAGCTAAACCGCATCGCCCGCTGTCAAGAAAGGCGGCATTGATATTCCTTTCTTTTCACAAAGAACAGTACACAGCCGAGCTGCCCATCACATACTTGGGTCATCAGAGCATCCGACAGAAGGTACAGCGTTCAGGTGTGCCCTGCCCCTCAACTTCAGTCCACCTCAATAGCCTCGCAGAGCAGGCGATATGGCCGGGAGAACATTGGGAAAAGTGCAGGCGATGTCACTCCTTCCTTTGGACACACGCGCCCAAAGCCTTCCAATGACGGCTGGCATTGGCTCGGTGAACGAGTTAGTGTGCTGCTTGTCAGCAGCTGGCAAAATGGCCCATAAAACAAGCAACGCATGTAGCCCACACGCGCGAGCAGGGGAAACGGGCATCATAGCATTGGAGTGCGCTTCAGCTTGACCACCGAGCCAAAACAGCAGCTCAGAAACTGGACAGCCCAGCACTTGCACACACTGCAGTGCGCCACGCTGGTGCAAGTTGGCAATGCAGCAAATTCCATGGATCCTTTGCATCCCTGCAGGCTGCGAAACAAAAGCCGTCTTTTGCGCAGGGCCTGCGACTCCACTCCTCACTGTGGAGAGGGAGCGCTGTCACGTTGCATAGCGATTTTGCCCTGTGCGACATCTCCAGGCACGCGCAAGTGCACAGCCGCCAAAGGACTGTCCCACCTCGGGGTCATTCGGCGCTTCATAGTATGAAGTTCATACCGCCAGGTGAACATCGGCAGCCTGGCGTGTTATCACCCGTGCTTTCGTTTTCGGTGCAGGAAGAGTTGGCACGCGTATCCGCCTTCATGGACCACATCAGCATGTGCGGCCGCAAGCTGCAACTCGGCATCAACTACCACCCGGGTGTGCCAAATTTGCACAGGGTAGTGGAAATGCAGGCGCTCACTGAGGCCCTCCGCAAGGCATTCCCTGAGCTCAAGCCACACGAATACCCCTGGCCTGGCAACGCGGAATTGCCATGCACGGGTCAGGAGCAGGGGCCATGTGCAGACAAGGCCTCCGGCCTTGACAGAGATCCAGCGCGGCACCCAAATGACACAGCAGGGGAAGGGGTGGACTCAGACACCCAGCAGAAAGGAAAGCCCCTTGGCAGGCGGCAACGGCCAAAATCTGCGCACGCGAGGCTCCTCGGCAACGGCGAGTGGCGGCACCCAGGGTGAGTGTCCCGTAGTGGCACCGAGCAGTGGGCAGAAAAAGATCATCAAGTTTGATGGTCAAATTGATGGCGCGAGTGGGGCCTCCTTGGACAGGTGAACGCAGCGCTGATACACAGCAATCTTTACACAGTTCAACCACCAGGGAATGCTGGGCAAAGACGGGCAAGCTATTGCCTGAGCACCCTGGGTGCGTGGTGTAATGTTGCCCGTGTTCACCTTTAAGCAGCCGGGCTGCAGGACCATCACCGGTGGCAAGCAAAACCACCACGCTCATGAAAGGGTGCCCGTTTCAGGACATGTGCTCCATTCTGCTGCTGAAAACAACATTGAGCCACTTTGTCCTCAATTCCAACTCAGCTTGCCATCTGCCACGGCGCACCGGACACATTGAAGTAATGCTTTGGCAAAATTCGCTCGGGCTTAGCCATACCGTCGACAGCAGCATCGCCATGGATTTGTGTGCAAGCCGCTTCCAGCCTTGGCACCACGCCAATCGTGCCGCGGCGCCAAGAATGCAAATTGTTGACGCTGCACTGCCGCTGACTTGAGAGGTGCAGCGAAGGTGTCACTTCTGAGAAACCTGATCAGAGGATTGACACTGACCCCATTCAAATATCGTTTAGCAGGAAACAGAGCGTTCAGGGAAGGGCGTGCGATGAACCAGCGACTAATGTGTTGGAGCGCTCGGCGGGCACCAATGCCCGCACGGCATAAAATTACTCCCTGCATCAAATCGGTGACTGCTTGCACGAAAACGGTGACTGCTTGCACCAAGTCACGCGCACATCATGTCCAACTCCGTCAAAACTAACCTAACCTAAAACCTAAAGTCTAAGCCCTAAACTCTAAACCTAAACCTGTCCTAACCCTAACCCTAACCCTATAACTCACCCTGAACTAAACCTAACCCTAAAACTGAGGTTAGGACAAAGTGTGCACGTGACTGGTGCAAGCAGTCACCGATTTGGTGCAGGCAGTAATATTATTTCTGCCCGCACCATGCCGATGTGCACTCCTGTTAGCCACTGAAACAAAACAGCTCTTGCATCACCGCCACACCACAAGTTGCTATGTCGCCTCAGGAAGAGAGATGCGCAGTGGGGCAGTGTGCCGCTCCCAGCCACCGTCCGCCGCCGCCCCGCCTCTGCAAGGCCCAGGCTCTTATCTTGCCCCACCATGTCAGAACGACCGGCATCACGGCCCTCCAGTGCGCGCGGGGACGACCGCAAGCCTCACCGGCCCGCAAGGATGGCCCTCAGCGGCAGAGAAATTCAGAAGAACGTCAACAGGCACCGAGGCAGGGTTTCGGTGGCGCACAGAGGCCTGGCGGACCTCCTGAGGATGGAGGCCGCAGGGCGATGCGGCACAGACATTGCGGTTGTCTGAGAGACGGAGTCCGTGCGCATTGTGGTGTGGAAGGACGGACCTGCACGGCGCAGCTCTCGTGACCTGCGGGCAGCACGGCAGTCCTGTAGGACAGAACGTGAAGGCGCCGTGCCCTATAGGGTGGGGTCCGGACGTCCCTGCCGTCGCTGCTGGATACGGTTCTGTGCTGGAAGAGGGGTTGTGATGTGACTTGCTGCTTCCCAGGAAGCAGTGAATGTGTTTACAGGGCGCACCAATCAAGCTCTTGTTGAATTCCAGTGAGGGGCAATGGTGCATTGCTCCTGCGCAGTTGAACCAATGGGGTGACGATCTAGGGCGCCAAACTCCCCCACCTCACCACAAGGATCGACGAGCAACTCACTTGAACAACGCTGTCCGACTGTCAACCGCGGGCTCAAAATTTGATCTTGTCATGTGCATTCAATTCCGCTCGTTACAATGAACACGCCATTAACCTATCAACTAATCTTGAGGTCCACACAAACGCCAGGTTTGCTTCCACCTGCCCTCTACTGGCTTGCCCACCCATTCCCACGGGCCACTCCAGTGGAATGCCTCTCGCTTGAGCAGCCAAGCTTGCGCTCCCCGTATTTTTCACCCAGACCCACGCTCCTTCATCAACTGAACAAATAGTGCACATTTCACGCCACACACGATCACCTGCAGCAAGCCTCCCCCCTTTTCAGTTTCATTCGTCGTCGATCCTTGACAATTGCACCCCTCCGCTCATTCTATCCAGCTACTTGTCGACACCTCTCGCCAGGACGTCAAAGTTGGAGCGAAACCCCAGGAGCTCCGCAGGCACCTGATGACCCTTTGGCTGGCCTTTCTTCACTTTGGCCTTCGCTTTATTGCCCTTATTGCCTTTGACCTTCTCCCAGCCGGGCGCCTGCCCTCCCTGCTGGCCCTCCGCCACCACCTGCGCCTCTGACGCCGTCTGTGTCTGCAGATCGCTGTCATTGCCAAAGCCCACCATCGGAGCCCCAGATCCCTGCGGCTGGCCTCGCACGTTCTGCATCCTTCTGTGCCCATCATGCTCTTCCCTCCGTATCGTGGTCCCGTCGTTCTCCTTCCTCACCATGAACTCCCTCGTGAACTCAGCAACACGCTCCTTGGGGGCGCCCTTGAAGTACTCTTGTATGTACTCCACGACCTCCATGCGTCCCTTCAGGGAGAGCAGGAACTCGACGAGGGCCATGTCATCGTTCCCTGTGAGCTCCTTCATCTGCCGCTGGCACCAATCCCTGAAGCTCTGTGAGATCTTGAACTGACCCCCAAAGAGTCCCCCTTCGCCAACCACGCCGGGTTGAGGCGCAGCACTCTTGCAGCCCTGAGCTTCGACAGTGGGAGGCTTGGCCGCTGGCGGCTTGGCAACTGGCCCCCTAGGCTGCTGTGCCTGCCCAGAAGGCTGCCTTGGCTGGGCCGCCACCGCAGGCTGCTTAGCGGCGGAAGATCTGGCAGACCTGGGTGTTGTTCTGCTGGTGTTGGGAGTGCTCGTGGGAATGGGCGGTGCTGACACTGGCTCAGCAGCTGGACGGATAGGTGCCACGTTCGTCAGTCGGGGTGCTTGGGAGCGTGGCTGCTGTCCTCCGATGCCAGGATGGGAAGAGGCCCACGCCTTGGGCGGGGTTGCTTGTGTGGCCGGCGAATAGTCCCAGAAGAGTGAATCATCACCATCTCCTGCCTGGACAATCGCAACACAATGTTTGGCACTATAATTTGCTGCGCTGTGTCCTTGCAAAACAACGAAAGGAGAGAGCAACTCCAGCAACATAGGCGCAACAAGTCTGCTGTCAGAACACCAGTCTTTTCAGTGGGCTGTGCACAGTCTTTGCATGTGCGCAAGCCTGCATGCAAGTCAGCAGTTGGCAGAGGAGCCAGGCAATGGCAACGATATCGGAAGAGCAGTGTAGGTCTCTTGTGCTAATTCAGAAGCACTTTCAGCAAACCAAACCACAGATTTATGTTTAGCACCTGAATGTGCCCACAGGTTAACTAGACCAGTAGCTGATGACTTGCTTAAAGCAATTGATCCCACTGGGAATTCGCCTCCTCTGCAGATATCTCCAGCCCTGCCCTCGTATTTTCTTGTTCATTAGGATGGTTGTTGGCCTCAAAACAACATGCCTATGACACGATCGATTGAAGGACATTGGGTGGACTCAATGCATGAAGTGCAACACGACACCATCACAATGTGTACAGAACAGCTAATGCTTGGTGCCCACCAAACTCTGCTCCAGCAGTTGCGCTGCTGCAATAGCACATTGCCACAACTACCAGCTTGGTTGCCACCCTCAACCTTTGACAAGAGATTGAATACACAGCTCCCAAGCTGACTGCGGCGACCTGAAAATAGTAATGAAAGCCAACTGAGCACTGCTGACCGTTGGTGCAATCATCATGTCAATATAGGGGACCACCCCAGCAGCAAGATCTTTCGTGTCTGGATGGTCACTCAGGGGTTGCCCATTGTCAGCACATGACACTATTGACGGTGGAAATAACTTCTTTTGTTGCAGATTGTTGCAGAACATTACACCGCTGCACCCCTCAGGAGATGTAGGACAAGATTGTAACAAGTGAAGCATCAGAGAACCACGTTCTTGCTGTGATTGTGGCCAATCAAGTGACAGGGCACATGTTAACTGCATATATCTGAGGGGAAACCAATGAACAAGAACAATCCATCTGCAGGAGCTTTTGAGCGGTTGCAAGTTGTGCATTGTGAACCTGGGCACAGTCGTTCTCTGGACTAGAAAATTGTTGAGACTGGCACACTCACAATCCAAATTGCAATCTAGGCTCTCATTCTGCATTACTGCAGTATCATTCAGATTGTTCAGAATAAGTTTCCTTCAAACTCACCACTAAGTGTCCCCTGAGCCACCATTTTCTTGCCGTGTGACAATGAAACAAGTGCCAGGCAATCAACAGAGAACCCTCAACCCAGTCCTTTTCCATCCATAATTGCATTGTGATTTGGAGATGTGAGCCAGAAAGCCCATCTACAATTTCCACAGCACATTTCTCCATCCTTTTCCTTCCTTCTCGCAAGAGACGAAAAACCACCTCTTGCCCTCTTAACTTCAGGTGGCCATTCTCAATCCAATTCGGGATGATATTACGGCTTGTGCACACACAACCTGAAGATCCACTGCGCTGCAGCATATGAACAACTCCCAACGTTGGAGCCCGCTGTACTCTGGCTCACCCACTCACAAGAACACACAACAACCACATCCTATCACTGCGTACATCTAGAACAAGCCAATTCCACATTTGCAGGTACACAAACGTCATTCACCAACACACCTTGACAGCAGCGGGGCTGCCACAGCAGGCTTAGGCTGCTGTCTTTGCACAGATGTTGGCTGGGGTGCAGCGGCTCCTTTAACCGCAGCCTGTGTCTCTGCCTCCATTATGTCTCTCAGGCTGGCTTGTGGCTTGGACCTCCCTTGGTTGCCACTCCAGCCCACAGGGCTGGAAGCAGCGGCCCTTCCTGCTACAGAGGGCCCTGCTTGCTGTGATGGGACAGGTTCAGGCTCCTGGACAGCTGCCTGGGCCACATGCCTTTTCTCTTGCTCCTGTATTGCTCGAAGAGATGGTGCTGCAGGGAGGCACAAAGATGAATGAGTGGTGGCAATGGGTGGGTGGGTTGCCCAGCTGCTGCATTCCACATGAGCACAGTTGCATGCATTGCCAATACCACATCAGCCAAACACACAACAATAATTGTACTTTCTCAACGGAAGTGGCAGCAAGTCTCATCATGTTACTTGATTGCTTCTGCGGGCTTTCACACATGCCTATATTAATTGCAGATCTTCCATTGAAGGTGTTCAAGGGGAAAGGGTGGGTATGAAATCACCATGATGCCCCTGTGAGGATGGTGCTTAGTGGCCAGGCTGAATGGAGCATTTCTTGGCGAGGTTGATGCCCACCTGAAAGTTTGGAGAGACCAGACTGCCACTTGATAACAGTCACATACACCTCCAAAAAACATGAATAGGATCAAAAAACATGGATAGGATCTTGACATGGGACAGTTTCTAAGTACACCTCTGCTGACCCTGCCACACGACCTCACCAGCCACAGCAGCAATTGGCCACACAGATCATTGCTGGTTGTCAACACTAAAGGAACACTCCTCAATGCAAGTGAGACATACAGATCCATGCCCCTGCCTGCAACATCAAACGACATCCTTTCCAGCCAACATTGCACAAGCAACAGACCCCCAAGTTTTCAACAAGGACATTCTGCCCTTTGATTCACTGTCTCAAAGCTGTTGTGTAAAGCACGCCACTCTCATCCAAGTACCTGACGAGTTCGCCCGTGCCCCCCAAGCTGCCCCGGCCACAGTCTTCTTCGAATCCTCAGCTGGTCGCACAGCATTTCCCCCTGAGGGAGGTGCAGCTGTGCTGGGCACTGGTGCCACAGCTGTTGTGACAGCATCAGAAGTGGGCAAGTTAACCGCCGGTGTGCTGGCAGCCGCTGAAGCAGGCAACTGCTCAGTGGCTGGTGCAGGAGAACGCTTCCTTGCAGGTGAGCTTGGCGGCCCCACTGGCTTAGCAGCAGCCCGAAGATCGGGTTGCAACAGTTGGCTCCATACCCCATCGTCCGCCTTGGCCTGTCCCTTGTCCACACCACTCTTCTGTGGAGTTATCCCAAGCTGCAGCGCATTGCCGATACCCTGGCTGAGGAGAGGGCCAGGGGGGAGCAGTCCCACACTTCCCCCACCGTCCATAGATCTTCGGCCAACATCATGGGACCCCATGACGGGCGGTATGCCCGTCATTACAGCCAGGCTCTGAGACGTCATCTTGTTTGCGCTCGCTCGCGACTCCAGCGCTTGTTGCGTGGCATTCAAGATCGATGCCGCCGGGCTGGCACCCATGCCCGTGACAGCACCTGAAGCGGACCCTGGCCCGACACCGCCGCCAGTCAGGCTCCAGTGAGGCTGCGGTGAGGTAGGGGGCAGATGAAAGGGGGAGGAGTAATAGTTTCCACCTTGCTGTTGTGGGCCCGCGCTGGCCCCGTGACCCTCCCCAGGGTTCCTCACACCTTGAAGGAGGGCGTGAGACTGCAGGGACAACACATCGGGCCGCACGATGGGGTTCGGGTTCTGGGGTGGAAAACCACCCATCGGATGACCGCCCAGGTGTTGCATGTTGAACGCTACACGCCCAGCCTGCTGTTCCAAGCCAAGGTCGACATTGAATATGTCCTGCGCCGACGGCTCTGGCGGCAACCCAAGCCGGTGATGGTCCGCAGGCCTGGGAAGGCCATGCAGGTTGTCGAACTGATGTGGCATGGGGACTGGGTGAGGCGGGAAGGGTGCGAGCGGTGGCGTTCCCATAGCCCCCAGCGAGTGGCCCCCCTGACGTGGTGGGGTTCCAAATGGCAGTCCTGCCTGCTGCTGAAGACCCAGCAGAGGATTGTATGCTGGCATGGGTGGCTCGCACCCCCGGCCCACCAATGGCAGTCCCTGCGGCCTTTGAGCCGGTCCAGCCTGGCCCATACCCTGCTGCAGGGTCAGCATGGCGAGGGACTGCTCCACCCGCTCAAAAGGATGACCTTCCAGTGATGCACGGTGCGTCAGTCGCTCTGCCGGGCCCAAGTCGGGAACCTGCCAGCTGCCGCGCGAGTCGAGGCTTCCAACAGCCTGCTGTGTGGCCTGACGCGGGATCCTGACATCAGGGCTTGGAGCAGGAGAAGGTGCAGAACTCGTTGCGCAGAAGTCACCAACGATTCCGGAGTGGAGGTTCGTGTCCTGTGATGGTGTCTGCCCCAAGTGCTGGCTCGATGATTGCCCAGAGGCCTCGGCCGCACTTGCAGATGTCCGCGATTGCAGCGACGACTGCCTCATTACCCCAAACCCGGGGGGTGGGGGAGGATTCCACATCTTTAGGAGCTGCTTTATTGGCACAAAGTCGCTGTTTCCAGCAAGGGCAGAGCGCACAGGCAGGTCCTCTGGAAAAAATCCTTCCTCCCACCAGTTCAATAGGTCCTCCTTCCCAAATGGACCTTGGAGGTTCCCATCGGGGTCCTGGTACATCCACTGGTCTGCTTCAAGGTGCTCCTTTGAGATTCCAGCACCCGACCCACTCTTCATGCACAAGGAGAGCAGACTGTCATCCCTGCCACCATCTTTGCTTCCATCCCTCCCAAGGCTTCCAACATGGTGGTCCATGCTCTCTTGGCCATCATCGTCAGCAAACCTGCCACTCTGCCGGGGCTTTATGACATGAGGCTGGTCATATTCGCTCTTCAAGAGGCCAGGGTAGTCCTTCTCAGAGTCATCAGGCATGGGCAGGTTTGCCGCCCCCAGTTTTTGCAACATGGTGTCATAGATGTCCAGCAGTTGCTTTTTGCTGTATTTGCCAACAGCCACCTTTGCCTGAGACTGCGCCCTCATGTGTGGCGGCGCTGATGCCCCCTCTCCACCATCCCGCTCACTTCGGTATGGTACACTGCCTGAGAGTACACCACTGAGGCTGTCAGCATGAGCAAAGGATAGAATGCAATGACAACACAAGCACTTGCATGCAGAGACCTTGCTCAACATCGGGCCCACGGGCCCTCATCAGTGTTCGATCCTATGGACTCCGGCTCTAAATCCTGTGAGTATTGTGCCTTTATGAACCCAGTGTGTCTTGTGTGTCATCAGTGTTTTGATACTATGAGCTCTGACTCCAAATCCAGCAAATCTTCAGTTAATGCACTCCAACAATGGTTGGTGTCAGCGGCTCTGTACAGTAACTCCCAATTATTGCCAACACTCCGCTAGTGCATTGGGCGTACTTTGTCTGACAAACATGGTGCATTTACAGATGATAAGATGCGTCAATATTCGTGGAAAAACAATTGGACGAACCTTTAACACACGCGCGCGCACAGACACAGATATAAACACACCCACACCCACACACACCCCATAGCGCTGAACACCCCACCCCACCCCACCCCACCCCACCCCACCCCACCCCCGGGTGCATGTTTCTCGCTCTTTGTGGTGCTTGTGTTGCATGCTCCTCTTCTTGCACTGGAGACTCTGCATCTTCTTTCTACAGTATAAAAAGAGTATCATGCACCCTTACTTAGGAGGGGGTGGCCACTGCATGGCTTGCTTCTCAGTGCTTTTACCATTACTTACCCTATAGAGCTGCAAAGTGGAACATGGCCCACTGCCTTCTTGAATAGGATGGGGTGACCCATTGAAGGATCTGTTTCTGGGTTCTAGCATACATCTTGACACAAACCATACCACTCACCGTTGTAGTCAGCCCCATTCAATGGGTCAAATTTAGGAGTTCAGGGAGGCACGGCGATCATGGCAGACAGAGCTTGCAATACCACCTTGCATTGAGCTTCAAACAGCTTCACAGGGATGCCCCCAATTTGTTTGCTGGTTGCCTCAATTCAATGCTGAGCCACATCGCCATCCATGCACCACAATGAACACAACACTGGCAGTTTGCCTAGCCAAGCGCACTCACCACGGTTCCGCTGGTTTGTGAACCCCCTTGGCGGCTGTACCTCTGTGCGTTGTGTCCCTGGGTGGCACAATCACATATCAGCATCCAGGGCATTTGACGATGGGCACCTCGCTCATCTCCACAATCCAGTGTTGTGCTTACCTCCCGAAGCTCGCCATCGGTCTCCCCTCTCTACAGGGCAACCAACAAACACACACCCATCAGGAGCAGGTTCATGGCAATTGGTGGGCACAGCGCAAACAATAAACACACAACAGTACTCTCGTTGGGGACTCTGCCCCTCTCAAGTAAGATCACAGCGAAACATTGCTACCTTCGTCGTTCCACCGAGGATTCTTGGGCACATAGTCGTGCTTGGGCACGTAGGCATCCCTGTCCCCGGCCGTCCACCGGTCCCCCTCCGTGTCCCACCTGTCCCCGTAGCTCCTGGACAGCCCACTCACCTCCGAGCCCCCCCAGTGCTCTGCAATTGCCACACACACGTCCCTGAGCGCCCCGTGCACCACACAATGCCCCCCTCAACACACACACACCACGCCCACCTTATTCTGCTAGGACAGGGGTGCTCCTTGTATGACATGTGGTTTCCTGGGATTGTAACATCTTGACACACACACACGGTGGCACCCATTGCACTGCAAAACGGAACAGGTTCCGCTGCATATAGGGTGCTCCATTGTATGACCTGCGTTTCAGGGATTTTAGTGCATCTTGACACACACAAGCCACCCCGGAGGCAGATGTGACCACTGTTCTCAGACGTGCGTTTTCAGAGGCACGGGTGGGCCTGGATGTGCCCTCGCACACTGAATTTGTGCGCTGCACTGATCGATGCCGTGGGGTCATGTCAACGCATCCATGCAAAGAGCAAACCGACCGACCAACCAACCAACCCACCTCGGTCAGCGCGCTGGGCCGGCTGCCGGGCCTGCCCCGGAGGGTCCACCCACCTCCGCCCCTCCTGCCCGGACGTCCACCTGCTCACCCACACCGCCCCCACAAAAATCAGCCCGCCAATCACCCCCCAATCCCCAAATCCACCCAAAATAATCCCCGAATCTTCCCCAACAAACCCCAACAATCCGCAAATTCTTCCCCCTTCACCGCGCACCTGTCCTTCGGGGGCGCCCAGGTCTCCCGATCGTCCGTGCGCCACCTGGAGGGCCTGCCGCCCGCGCCCCCGTCCTCTCGCCCCTCCCATCGCCCCCTACCAGCGTCCCGCTCCTGCTCCCCGGCATCCTCGGAGCCCGGCCACCGGTCGCCGCCGGGCGGCCTCGAATCCACGCTCGCGCGCCTTCCGGCCCCCTCCCCGCCTCCCGCGCCCCCCTGCTTCCACGACCCACAGCCATTCGATCACACAAGCCCACGTCCCCGGTCCCCGTCACCGCGACGTCACGATGCGATTTTGACAAGGGGGCGTGGCGAGGGTAGGGCCCTGCCGTCGTACCCCTGCGCCGGCCCTCTGTTGCATCCACTGCGGCTGGAGGGAGCCCTGGCGGGACAGCGCGGCCGCAGAGTCGCCGAAAGCAGTTTCCTCCGCCGCGCCTGAACCACCCATGCCGCCAATCGTCAGCCCAGGCCACCCTCGCGATGCGTCAGCGCCAAAGATTGCAGCAATTCGACTGTCGGACGTCTGGGACGCACCCTTGGGCGAGCTGCCTTCGTTCGCCATGGGATGAGCGAGCCTTTGGCCGGTCGGTTGGCCTGTGGCTTTGCTGGGCGGGGTGGGGTGGCGGGGTGGAGGCCAGGAGAGCTGGGAGGTCAAGGGGGGTTCAGGGGGGGCACGCGCACGCGCAGGGGTTTTCCTGTTTGGCCGGTGGTGGCGTGTGGGGGCGTGGTGGGTATGTCAGGGGGTGGGGGGGTCCCTGGTCGGGCTGCGGGGGTGGGGCCGGCCATTTGGAGCGGTCATTAGGAGGAGGGGCGGCATTATGACGCGCTGGCGTCGCGCCGCGTCAGCGTACGAGGTGCTCGCCCTCCCTGCTGGTGCACGGGACACCGAGGCTGGAGGCACCAAAAGGCTGGTGGAGTACTGAGTACTGGTTAACGTTCCCGTCAACTGTCAGGCCGCAGGCACGGGAGTGAAGTTAGGATGGCCCGGGCGGCGCGTGCAGCGGCTGCGCGGTCCTGCTGGTGCGAAGGAAGAGGCGCTGCTCTGGCGGCGGGCAGCGGGTCACTTGGGGATGGCGGATTTGCCGACCGATCTTGTTCTCGGTCTTGCGAGATCAGCTGAAGGACGCGTCCCCGTGAGTTGACCCGCGGGAGTCGAAACGTCCTTTCTTGGAATCGTGGATAGGACTCATTGGATACATGTTTGTTGTCTTGCTCACATCTTTGGTTGGTTGGAGGCTTCAAAATTTTGGTGGTGGTGATTGTCATGCATGATTGACCGTTCCAAAGAACTTTCTGGCCTTTGTGCATTGTCTGCTACGATCTGCCACCTCGTTGGTTGCCTCGTTGGCAGATAAACCAACCGCAGCGTCTTGCCCAGGACGTCTAGATGGGTCAGTGGAAAGAAGGATTCAATCAAACAAACTTTACAGCCATAAACCAAAGTGTGATCACCGACACACCCACAATTTTCCGGTCTGCAGCGTTTCCCTGCTAAGTAACTAAAAGCAATCCCGAAATTCGTCAATCCTTGTTAGTTCATGCGCCGAAATTCTCAATCTGGAAACCGTGAGAACAATCAAACTCGTTCTCGGCCAATCGCGGTGCAGTCCAATCGATCGACGATCGTCTTGAACCTTCGAGGAAAAGCCACGAGAAACTGACAATCGCTGTGCCCTGTCTTGAGAAAATTGAGATCAAGAGGCGCGGCGGAGATTGACGACTTTGACGTTCGTGGCCAGCCTCAACCGCAGCACCCTTTCGAACGTGTGTGCCTGACGATTAACGCCCCCCGCCACTCAGGCCAGGCATCGATTTTCACCGCATGGAGATCGCACCTACGCGATTCCATGTTGCAGACGTACGCAGCACGACGCCTATAGCCTCGTTTGATTACATTTGTCACGTGGCAAATGAGAAGCCCTTGCACCAAAGTGGCGATGGTCGGGCAGTGGTCCCAAGCAGCTGTTTCGTTCGAACTCCCGATGTTGGCTGCCAGCACGACACGGCTTTCGCCATAACTCCACATCAGACGCATCGACGCTGCTGCACCAGCGCTCGGTGTTATCGATTCTCAGCAACCATCGCCATCATCCAGTGCATACGTACAGTATGGGCCCGGGGGCAGCGTCGCTGATGCACAGCACGCACCAAACAGAATCGCGACCTGTTTCGCTGGTACTCGAAGTACACGCGGACAAACAGCCCCTCAACGTCCATTTTCAAGTCTTTTGCTTTGAGCACGGCTCGTTTTAGCAGCCGTTTCAACGGCTCGTGAAGATCGACGGTGGAGCCTGAGCAACAGAAAGCGGAGATAG